ATAAGGATGAAGGACTTGGCTCCTACCTGATGTACCTAGGGTAAGCAGGTTTGGGTCAGTAGGAAACCTGGCTGATAAGCGCCTGAGTATAGCTAATATCCAACAATGAGGAAAGATGACAGAAATGCACACGCAGTTTCTTTCCATAATAAATGAATATACTGGAGCTACAATTACCAGAATCTCAAGCCCTTACTTTTATACCTACTCATTAACTTCTAAATCATTTTCTTTTTCAGTCCAACATTTCCTTCCTTGATTTCAATACCAAGGGGGGCTCAGGAAGAATGCTTAGCACAGCTTAGGCACAAAAACAGTACTTTTTTTTAATATCTCCTGATTAAAACAAATTGAAAAAGAAGAGAAAACTGATCTTACTGGGTGACAGTGGAATTCATACCTAGGACACAGTCAGTAATAGTTTGCAGTAAACATGTTTAAAATAGTAATGTGTCACGCAACAGTCTAGGTGTTTTATACACATTCTCATTTAATTCTCAAGACAGCCTTTATTTTATTACCTCTGTCTTATAGATAAGGAAATGAAAACTCAGAAAAGCTAGATACTCTGCCCAGGGTCACAGAGCAAATTAAGTGAAAGGAGTCAGAACTGACCCTCCTGGGCTCAGTGACTCCAAACCTCTATACGTTTTGTTTGTTGATCTCCTATTCTTCTTGCTGTTCCTCAGACACATCCAGCTCATTCCCACCTCTGAACCTTTCTTCTGGTTTCCTCTATCACATTTCGCATGCCTTTCTATTTTAGATCATTCAGGTCTTTGCTCAAATGCCATCTCTTCAGAGAGGCTTTTCTTGATCATCCCCTAACACAGTCTCTTCCCTGACCTTGCTCTATTTTTTATTATGACACTAACATTGTATTATTTATTAGTTAATTTTTTGTTTATTGTTAATCTTCCCCACTAGAATGAAAGATCTCTGAGGACAAGGACTTTGTCTCAGTCACAGTTGTATCCCCAGGACTTAGAACAGTGAATAGTTAGTTACACTGCAGGCCTCAACACATATTCAGTGAATGTATAAATAAATGAATTATATGTGATCAAAATCATATCATACTGAAACATTAACATAGCACATAACTGTTACGTAGTATAAACAGCACAGGCTTTGAGATTTGGCAGATCTAGGTCTAAGTCTCTATGTGTGACTTTGGACAAGTCTCTAAACTTCTTTAATCCTCCATCTGTAAAATGGGTATAAAAACATAAGTCACACAGATTTGTTATGATTAAATGTGGTAAACATATGGAAATACTTTGTGCAAACTATAAAGTGTTATATAAATGTTTATTATGATAGTGGGGAAAAGTTGAGAAACAATCTTATACTTTATAGATCATGCCAAGGCCCAAAAATTGTAAAGTGAAGTGTCCAATGTTGCAGTTATTTAGAACCAAACCATAATTAAACAATAGGACTCTGGGCAACCAAGTTGGGACACTTGTTATTACCCCCACAAACTACTTGGCCTCTGATGCTTTTCTTTTACCGCACTAGCTACCCCTTTGACCTTCTCAATTTTCCAATGTCAGAAATGTCCAGGACTCCACTGTTAGATCTCTTTGCCCTATCTACACACATTTTTTAGGTGACCACATCTATTCTGTGGCTTTACATATACTAATGACTCCCAGATTTATATCTCCCAACTGGACTTCTTTGAATTCCAGACTTGTATATCCACTGGCCTACCTGACATTTCCTTAAATAGAATATGTCTAAAACCAAACACCTGACCCCTTCCTACAAACTTGCTCCTCCCAATCTTTCCCATCTCCATATATGACAACTCAATCTTCTAGCTGCTCAAGGCAAAAACCTTCATTGACCACCTTCTTACTCTCAAAATCCTCATCTAATTACCAGCTAATTCTGCCAGATCTGCTTTCAAAACATATCCTGATTCCAACAACTTATTACCAATCCTACTGCTATCACACTGGTTCAAGCTTTATCTCATTCCCTAACTCTTTTAACAGCTTCCTAAATTCAATTCAGATCACATCACAGCACTCTGTTCAAAACCTTTCAAGAACTGCTCATCTCACTCAAAATAAAAATAAAAGATCATTACCATGGCCTACAAGATACCATGTAACCTGGCTTCCTTCTACCTATCTGATCTTACCACCTACCACTGTTCTCTTTGCTCATTACACTTGGGCTACACCAAAGTAAAATTAAACTTTAACACTAACACTCACGTTGTTTGGAAACACTCTGAGGTGGCCAAATGCAAAGTCTAAGAAGAACATATAAGCCTTGGATTCTTTAGTGTGAACAGCAGAAACATTCTTTCCCTTACTGTTGTTCACTGTAAGTTAAACACAACCCCACCTCAGGGATTTAAAGCACTTAAAGAGTTTCTGACTAAAGCATTCTTCCCTCAAGTTATCAATATGACTTGTTCCTTTATTTCATTAAGATCTGTACTCAAATTTCACCTCACCAGAGACATAGGTTAACTGATCATATCTAAAATAGCCTCCCTTCCTTTCAGTAACTCTCTTCCCCATACACTGCCTAATTTTTCATGTCTCTGTATAGTAGAGTGCAACTCAAAGCTGGGATTTTAATTTGTTCACTGATGTATCCCCAGTGCCAAAACCAAATTGTTTAAGTGCTCTATAATCAATACCAGTAATCATTTCAGCCATTAATTACTCTTTAATTATAAAATCTTATGTCTTCAATCCTATCTTCCCTTAAACAGACCAAATATTACTTGAAAATCTCTTTTCTGGATATCCTGAGGGCTTTCAATTCAACTAGTGATAGGAGTAACTGAAAAAGGAGAGAATGACATGATGAAGTGATACTTTTGTTCTTTTAGGATCCTCTTATAATCAGCTAACAAATTGGTAAGTATTAATAAGCACCTATGGCTATAGAGCACCATCTATTAAAGAAGGATATTACATAGCTTAGTAAGTAAAACAAAGAGATACTTAAAAAGTGACAAAATGGGCCATAAATACATTAAAAGATGCTCCACATCATTAGCTGCTGGGGAAATGCAAATCAAAACACAATGAGATACCACTCCCCATTCACCAGGATGACTAAAATCAAAAAGACAAGTCATGGAGACGATGTGGGAAAACTGGAACCTTCATAGTTGCTCGTGGGAATGTTAAATGGTGCAGTCATTTTGGAAAACAGTCTGGTGTTCCTCAAAAGGTTAAACAAAGTTACCAATTATCCAGGATTTCCATTCCTTAGAACTCATTCCCTCTACCCAAGAAAGACAAAAACATATCCACAAAAAATCTTATGTAAGAATGTTCGTAGCAGCATTTATCCTAAGAAACCACCCAAATGTCTATTAACCAACGAAAAGGTAAACATGGTCTTATCCACACACTGTAATATTCAGCAATAAAAATAAATGAAGTATTGATACATGTCATAACATTAATGAACCTTGAAAACATTATGCTAAATGAAAGAAGCCTGGTTACAAAAGGCTACATATTATTTGATAATATCAATATGAAATATTCAGAATAGGCAACATCTACTTTAGAAAACAGATTGGAAGGGTTGGCGAGAATAGGTGAAGTATGGTGTGAATGCTAAAGTACTGGTTTCTCTTTGAGATAATAAAAAATGTTCACAATTCTGTAACTATATTAAAAGCCTTATACTCTTTAAATGGGTGAACTGTATGGTACGTGGATCGTAGCTCAATACAGCTGTTATTTTTAAAAACTTTAAAAAATATACTCAGGTTTATTCAGGTTCCATTTATGAACATTCTTACCATTCACATTCAGTTTAACATTTACTAGAATACTAGATAATGCTCATCTTCTTTATTTTACTTAAATATTCACAAATAGCCACTGTAGGTAAGAAAATACATCTCATGACTTAAGATCTATAGTAAATCATCAGAGCCAGAAATTGGTCCTGCGCTCACTCTTCAAATCTAGGGGCTCTTTCTCACCTCTCTTCCTCAAGCAGGCATAATTAAGACCTAAATGTAACACTTATAAGAACTATGAATTAACAAACCAAGGACTGAGTGACCATAAGAACACAGATTTATAACCACAGATTAAAAGAATGACTACCAAAACTGTGTATCATAAAATCCAGTATCCCTGTGTTTATTACTTGTCCACAGTGCTCTACTACATGAAAAGAGGGACACAGGCTCAGGACAGGTGGCTCAGTTCAGTGGGGTGTCATCCCGTGCACCAAAGAGTTGCAGGTATAATCCCCAGTCAGGGCGTGAACAAGAGTCAACTGATCCATGTTTCTCCCTCACATTAATGTCTCTCTCTCTCTCCCTCTCCCCCCCCATCCTCTTCCTCTCTATCTAAAATCAATAAACATATCCTTGGATGAGGGTTAAAAAAAAAAAAAAAGAAAAGAGGGACATGGAACTAACTTTCTCCTAATCAGTGCCTCCTATTCAAGGAAGGTCAGTGAATGCTCCTCAGTACACACATTCCATTCTCTCCTATAGCGTCTATCAAATAAACATAATACACTACAAAATAAATATATTGTTAAGTATATTAAACCCTTGACCACATTCCTCAATTCTCCATATTTATTTGTAAAAATTTCGTAGTCTTTCCAGGAATTTTAATTATTTCCTTAAAAGAAAGCCCTGATTAAACAAAGTAGGCTCACATTAAACCAAACTTAACTAAGCACCTACTATGCTTCTAAATTAGATTTCTTCATAGGTGGTTTTTCATTTAATCCCCAGAAAGAATCCTTAGGTATTACTGGCTGCCACCCTTCATCATTTTCTTTAACCGCCAAGTGAGAATCATAGTTAAAATAACTTGTAAAGACTTCACAAATAAAAAGGCGGGGGGGGGCGAGGGCGGAGAATAGGAGCCAGAATTCAAATTCAGACCCTCTGTATCACCTTTTTCACCTTTTTGAACCTCAATTTCCTCCTCTGGAAAATGAAAAAAATATCATCCACCTTCAAGGGTCAATGTAGGAAGTACTACCTGCAAAGTAGATCAGCGGCTGCTCCTCAATAACCTTAGTTCTTTCTCTTTCTTCCTTCATACTTGAATTGCCTGGTTTGTGGCTTATTCCAAACAAAAAGCAATTTTAAAGTTGACACTTCATTTTTCTCTTAGCTGTCTGATAACTATCACCTATCATAACATGCAGTGACCCAGGAGCACTTCTAGCTCACCTAGCAGTTGGGGTGCTCAGCAGAGCTCTTCTTGCTCAGAGGCCTGCATTAAGGCTATTTCCTCTCCTCTATTCCCCCCTAGACAAACATACATAGGCAGGTGGAAATTTTTTAAAAGCCATAATTAACCTAATTAACATAGAGTGATAGAAATAGAAAAGACCACAGTGTTCTAGGCAGGCTGCAGGGCAAACAAGAATTCTCTGGCTGGAGAAGTGAGGGGAGAAAATAGTATCTACTGGGGAGAAAAAGGAGTCACGGCTGCAAGGCAGAAACTGAGGAATGTCTAAAATGGACAGTCAGCACCACCCACCAGGGCCCTCATCCCTATGCCCCGGGATGGATTGGTGTGTCCCTGATTCATCAAACAAGAACTCTCAAGTAGACAAAAGTCAAATTATGGGCTTCTTGGGGGTCGAAACTGTAACTTACATTTAGATCTCCAGAGCACGGAACCTAGCACAGACAGGTACTCGTTTGTTGAATGTGTAAATAATGGGTAAGTTAATAAAGTCAGATTAAAAGGGCTTCTCTATCCTCTCCACAGTGTACTATTACTATACAAGGGGTTCTTATCATCATCCACCATGCAACCTGTAACTCTTCATAAATACCCACACACAAAGCACAGTGCATCTGTAGGCCATCTCCCCAAGAGGTCCAAATAACCCACACTGCTTCTGAAAAAAATTAAAGCAAATCCCAAATAAAACTTTCAAACAGCTCCCCACTAACTTCAGAATAAAGTCTATACATTTAATTTATAAATAAGGTTCTTTTGCAAATTGGTTCTTGCCTTTCTTTCCAAATACATCTTTTCAAGAACTCTAAATACCTGCCAAATATTTGAACTCACGGCCCCTTAAATATGCCCTGCTCCTGCTTCAACATCTTTAGATGCCACATTTCCGACAAAACTCATAACCACAAAAATTTGGTTTACATAAGTTCTATCCACCTTTCATGGAACAAATCAGGTCCCATCCATTTTACAGACCCTACTGTAACGGTCCCAAAGCAGTGTTAAATTCCTTTCCTGTCCTAAGGTAGTCATGTCCATAGCACTCATCCTACATTCAATGATAGCATGTTGTTGTTTTGTAGAGAGAGACACCCACATACAGATTAACACAGGGTGTGGTAAGCTCCTCCAACCAGTAAATCTCCTAATAGCCAGAACACACTTATGTTACTCTATTGACAGCGGCTAGAAAATTAGCATATATCTTGTAAGTGCTGCTTGTTCGTGCAAATATTAAACATTTTTTCCATTTTAAGATGCAAGTGCCAACTAATGTCTTTTATTATATTTTTAAAAGGGATTTTCAGCTTCCTAGCTTTCTCATCAATTTTATATAGTAATGTTGGCAGCAAAAACAGAACCAGATGTTAAGCTGGCGGAGTTAGACCAACCCTAGGTTCAGCAACCTCAGTACTTGAGTTCTGGCTAAGAAAGGACTCAGAGCCAAGAGAAAGTTTATTTAGAACATCACAGAGGCAGAAGAAGTGAGCCAAGGAAGAAATGGACCCAGGAAACAAGTTAGAGAGGCAAAAGAAGGGCCCCTGGAGCTTAGGGGAAAGAGCGAAGCAAGGAAACCATGTGGAAAGGCTCAGGCTTGCTCAAGAGAGAACCGCACTGGGTCCTCCACCTTGAGGGTATGTATCTGGAGGTCTCAGAGGAGGATCCCAATAGCATATTCATCAGCCTTCCAGATGTGTCCTTTCAGGGCCGTGGTCTCTAATGACTGGTTGGCACCAGAGCAAGGGGTCATTAGTCAATGCAGCGGGTCCTGATGCCAGCCATGGCATTGCTTCTCTGATTTTGCTGCTTTTCTGGGCCTGGAGCTGAAAAACAACTGAGGCCAAGATGTATTTGATGTGGGTAGAACCTCACCGTCCTGGGGACTTAACACTTAAGGGGCTCTTCTCTGGCCCCCTTGTTTGTTCTTCCTCTAAGGGGTCTAATTCATATGACTAGCAACATGCCAGGGGTTGGTCCAAACTGCATGGCCAATGATATGAAAGGTCAGGGGGTCTAAACCATGTGACCAGCAATATGCTTGGGAAGAAAGGTCGCCCTGGGGGCAACATCCTTTTTTCCCCAGTTTTGCCCGTTGCTAGGCACCCTGGGCTTTCCGCCCTGGTGACCTTCTGTACCTGGGCAAACTTCCTTGCTCTGCTCATGTCTTCCAAATGCCTACCACAGTAAGCGCTCTAATAACCAGAAGCATTCCTACATTCCTTCCTGAATCGAAGGTAAGACTATATCATGTACAGTGAGGTTTTAGGAGTAACTATGTTTTACTGTATTTTGATTCTTGAAAAACTGGTAACCTGCAAACACTGTAAGTCTTTAAGCTAACATTATGTGACAATCAGGTATACCCACCCATCTATTAGGACACATAAAGCTATGACAATTTCTTGACTCCTTCTCCCACTTCCACTTCTTTTGGGTTCCACTTTCCCCTAGATATATCTGAGCCAATCCAACACAGAACCCTAGATATATTTCTATCATAGCACCTGTTACACTTAATCATACCTCCTTATTTACAGGTCTGTCTCCCTACTGATTTGCCCCTCTAGATCTGTGCTTTCCAATACAGCAGCCACAAGACAAATGTAGCTATTTAAATTCAAATTTATGTTAATTAAAACTAAATAAAATTTAAAATTTAGTTCCTCAGTCTCACTAGCCACATTTCAAACACTCAAGAGCCACATGTGGCAGGTGACTACCATATTGGACAGCAGAGATACAGAACATTTCTATCATTGCTGTGTCTATGCTGTGTATGTTCCCCAAGGCACATACAGTCTAGCAGGCAGTCTGGCAGGAGCTATGACTAATTTATTTCTTTATCCCAGCACCCAGCACTTAGTAAATGACTCTTAGGAATGACACTGGGTAACAGAGAGCTGCTTCTACCTTTCTTATTATCACACACCATGAGAACCTCTATTCCATACAGTCAATGTCCCTTATAAGCTAGAATCAGTGTATTAATCCACCATTATCCCAACTTGTAGAAAGAGGCAAGAACCACGATAGTTAGAAGATAATCGGAAAGCCTTTGCTTGGCCCCTTTGTCCAAAACAAAGCTCCAATATTTACGTGAGACAGTGAACAAAGGGTCTTTTTTTTTCTTTTTTTTTCAGGTTTAGCATATAACTAAATGGCAGGTGACTCTAAAAGGAACTTTTTTTCAAATATTGGAGCAAACACAACTCAGCAGAAATAAAAACAGGAAGACACTGTTAGAAATTTATCACACTTTTGGGATTCCATGAATTAATACATCCTCAGTATGCTGTTTACATTTTTTTTTTTAATATTAATTTGGCACACATTTTTGGAGGATCTATTAAGGGTTAAGAGCTAAAAAGAAATAAATAAATTCTAATGGCAGATAGAAAGGTATGTTGGCATAATACGAAGTGGTAAATGTTCTATGATAAGGGGAGCTATGAAGAGCACAAAAGAGAGGCTCAGAACTCAGTGGTAAACTGCGGTAGGGGCAGCAGTGGAGGGGAACCACCAGAAGGCTGATTAGAAATGAGCCCAAGCTAAGTCTTAAAGGGTAATTAAAAGGTTGGGAGATGACAAAAGGGTGGGAGAGTGTCACACATAGAGACAATGGCACTGATGAAGGCACAGGAATGTCACCTGGACAGTAAATGCCAAGTGATTCAGTCTGATTGGAACAACATGAAAAAGAAGTAAGATTTGAGACTAATGAGGCAGGAAGAGGCCATATCATTTAAAAAAAAAAAATCACTTTGTATGCTAAACCAAGGGGTTTGAATTTCATCCTCAAAGCTACAGGAAACCTCTAAAGGTTTTAAAACAAAAAAGGAGTACAATATATATTTAACCAAGCTCACAGAAAAGCAGGATGAAGGATGAGCTGGGGGAGGTGAGACAGGAACACAGGGAGATCAGTTAGTAAGTTGCTGTACAAAGTAAAGAGACAAGGATATTTTACCACAATTAAAAAAAAGTGATAAGACAGCGTTCATCTGACGCAAATAGTTTTAAACACAATCTATTTTTAATAGGTCTCTCTCCCTTAGTCTATGCTTCTAAAAGCTATAACACCATGATTTAATTATGCAGCACAACTATAAAAGCAACTATTAAAGTCAATTACATAAGCACTAAAAAATTACACTGCAATCTTTTTCAACAGCCATTCTGGACTTCAAACTAAAACTGCACATTTTTCTCTTTTTCCACTGCACACAATTTTGGAAAAACATTTCAGCCAGCTGAGCACATCTGTGCAGTATGCAACAAGTGTAAACAATTTAACAGGAGTTTAATGAAACATTTCCTATTCTTTATTAGAGGGGAAAAAATTAGAAAATTCTAACATGGCAATATCAAGTTGCAAACTGACATTTTTAAATTTTGTTGTTTTTGTTTTTTTTTTTTTTAATATGAACATACCAATTTTAAAGCCCATCTGGCTGCATGGTGCAGCTATCCTGAATGAATATATAGCATTTTCAGTTATTAGGCACTTGGCTAAAAGCATTCCAAACTGCCATGTGTCATCAATAGCAAGAGCCACGGGTGCTAGGATTGACTGCTTAGGAAGTACCTACATACTCAAACTGGTAGGAGAGGGTTTCTTACTCTGTCCTAGGGAGGAGGGAACACTGAGGACATGGAAGGAACAAACTCACAATTTAAAGAAAATCTTTCAGTTTTACCTCATATTCTCTTAAAGGCAATGGACTCTGATATCACTGATCCCATAGTTCCCTAGCCTACAGAGTTTTACCTACCAAAATCTGAAGAACCAAGGCTTTGAAACTGGACTGAAACTGGGTTGAATTCCACCTCTACCTTTTACAAACTGTTTGAACTTAACACATTGCTTAACCTTCCTGAGACTATTTCTTCACGTGTAAAATAACACCTAACCTTGTAGAGTCGAGGTAGGGATGAAAGCAAGTGTACATAAAATATATATAAAACATCTGGTTCATGTGGCATTCAATAAATAGTAACTACTTTTACACTCTCTTTGTATCTCACTATAATTCCTGTAACAGTAATTATGCACCTACCTTAAAAGTTTATTAGGAGGATTACATGAATCAATACAGGTAAAGGGTTTAGAATAGTGTCCAGCACAGCA